TAACAAATGTAAACCGGAGCTCACCGAACAACCTATAGGAACTTAACGTCTTGGACTCTTGTTTAATTCGTAAACCGGCTATACAACAAATGTAAACCGGAGCTCACCAAACTGTCTCGATTCTAATAGATTTTGTAATAATCTGCCATAGCTAGTAGCTTCTAGATTTTGTAATAATCTGATATAGCTAGTAGCTTCTAATTGACACGAGGTGTCCTCCAAAACGACAAAATTAAAAAAGTCATAGAGATAAATTTGGAATTATTCGTTGATACTATTACTAGCTCGAAATATTTAACATACAATATTTCTATTTTATTTTTGCTTCGAAAAAGAACAAAGCTCGAAATGAGTAATAGAAAAGAACATAAAAATATATTTTAAAAAGAGAAATTGGGCAGAAAAGAGTGGAAAAAAGTAGCAGAAAAGATAGAAACGACCGGTGGAAAAAATTCGTGTACATGAAATGAAAGTTAAGGGCCCATTACAAAAATGGTTTTGGGCCGCGTCGTCACATTTCGACGTTTAGTCATTGCTTTTGTCTTTTTTTTTGGTGGTTGTCTTTTTTTTTTGGTGTGGTTGTTGAATGAATTACTTTAACCATTTTTGAAGTTTTGCTTTCGAGCTACCAATGCTTTTGGAAATTATTACATAAAACATTTATGTATGACGACAAAAATAATTAACTTTGTTATACCGAGGTAAAATACCAATTTTTTAAAATATTATGTTAGGAAAGAAAGATTATACTACTTTACTACTGATCAGTCACAAAGGAAAAGAAAAATGCCATAACCTCTTGTTTTGGTATTAACTACGAGACTACGACGAGATTTGATTGGATGACTACGAACTTAATCATGCACCTATCCACACCGGAATGTGTTGTGGTTCTTTGGCTAAGAATCACTCTCACAGTTTTTAAACCAATAAAAGATCACCACGTGTCACTGAAATCCAATTCAGCTAAGCCATCCAAAAACATTACCAACGTGGCTGGATTTTGCACCAGTAGTATTCTACCGTCAATGACCAAATCACCCTTATCTTTTAGATTAGACGTCTATAAACACTTTAATTTTCTTTGCGTCGTCTGCTAATTACATAACAAAATACATAAAAGCTGAAATTAATACAAGGATAAGACCGTAATTTGCCTGATCATCATTCTTTCTTCCTCGAGCCCGCCTAGCTTCTCCGTCTTCCTCTCCATGGAAGCTCACAACGGTTTTATCAGTTTAAAGCTTTTCAAAAACAATGCA